GAGAGAGAGAGAGAGATAGAGAGTGGGGGAGGGAGAGTGAGGGGTGTAGAAGCGGACTAGGAAGAAGTAATAGGTCAATATGTGCATTTTAATGTCAATAGCGACAGAAAGCATGCCAAATATACTGGCGGGTACCAGTGACTCTTATCTCTCCTATACTCCACTTCAAAATGAATACCCACTCTCTGAGACACAAACACGTGCGCCCCCCTCCCCCACGCACACACGCACACACGCACACACACACACACACACACACACTCACATCAGGATTCTTTGCCATACATACACCGGCGCACGCTTATACACATGCTCTCTATACACGTGTACAGCATGCAAACATTTGTTTTTTTTTGTTTGTTCCAGAATTTGAACAACAACACCACTGCTGCACCCGGTCGTGGCATCACAACAAACTTATCTATGGGGAGCTGACTGTCCACCAACTATATTATTAGCCTTTGTTGCAATGCCACAAGACAACGATCTTCACAACTCAACTGTCAACAACACTCCTATACCCACACATCGACAGCACCGCTCATTTTGCAAAGACGGTCCTAAACGCAGGCTTATCATGGCATCGTGTTTTGTTTTCTTACTTCTACTGTTAGCTGCAGTGATTATTGGACCTACTTTAGCTTTTCTTGCTTCTGGTAGCAGCAACAGACCTCTTAAAGTGGCAGCGTTCAACATTCGATATTTTGGTCGTAACAAAATGTTGGACACTACGGTAGCCAATCACATTGCAGAGATCTTGGTGCGCTATGACGTCATTCTCGTTCAGGAAGTCCGTGACGCCTCCGGAAGATCGCTGAAAAATCTGTGGTCACTTCTCAACAAAACAGACGACTGGGGTTTAGTGGCGAGTGCTCGAATAGGCCGTACCAGATACAAGGAGCAGTATGTGTTTTACTACAGGGTGAACCTCGCACACTTGTTGGGTACATATCAGACCCCAGACTCGAGTGACGTATACGAGAGAGAGCCGTTTTCAGTGGAGTTTGAGTACTTTTCCGTTTCTCCGGGAGTGAGGAAGCGGGTTGTGCTCATGGCTCTTCATGCTCGACCTAAGGACGCTTTTAACGAGTTAGGCCACCTCCCAACCTCCATCAAGTCAGCCGCTAGCCACTTTAAGGACGCAGGCGGCGTGGTTGCCATGGGAGACTTCAACGCCGATTGCAGATATGTGTCTGCCACCAAGAAGTCGAAGCTGGAGATTTTCAGGGACGACTCGCAGTTTATCAGTCTTATCCCCCATTCGGCAGACACTACTTCCGGTCACACTGACTGTGCATATGACAGAATCATCGTCTTCGGAAATGACATCAGAGCACGTGACGCTAAGGTCTACAACTTCCAAAGGGCCATGGGCCTCAGCGACGAAGCTACTGGGGATATCAGCGATCACTATCCAGTTGAATTTCAGCTATATTAGATTAGTGATCCGTAGCGATTTGGTTTTTGTAGTCCATGAATATAAGATCAAGGAGAAAGAAGGCCGCCTTTCCAGAACTGCTTTATTGGGGAAGACTATTCCCTAAGGGCTGTCAGGATTTTATTATCATTGTTCACTGGCACTGTTTGATTTATGGTTTGAATATGTGCATATATTGTATGCAAAGTTGTACACTGTGAAGATAAACGCTTACTGGGCTTTCATTATTAAATAAATATGCATACACTATAGCTGTGCAGTGCTGACCTGTTGTTGGATTTCTTTCCCAACTAGCCATGTTTGCAGCCTATTTTGAAAGCGCTTGTATTGTATTTCTAGCGTTGTACATGTAAATGGTAGTCCCTCTTGAATCAGAAACAATATTTAAGACCCATTTTATGTTTTACGTTTCTCTAACATACAGGCTTCCTGATTTCAAGTCAAGTACACGACTGTGGGGTGTAAGCCTACAGTTTGTCGACGTCTCCAAATTTTTTTTTGTACAGGCTGCAAGATGGTGACCACCATTTCATCAGATTTCCCTGAGTTACATTTTAAGCACATTGCGATCCTATCGTCCAAGAGCAACCCTATTTGTTTTGGGGTTGTTTTTGTTGTTGTTGTTGTTGTTGTTGTTTTGGTGTTTTTTTAGCCGCTGGCACCGTCTACTTCCTTGTTGTTTTTTTTATTTGGGGGGGGGGGGTTCTTGGCCTCAGTTGAATCCAATTCCGAGAGAAATGACGATCAGAACTCTTAGTTCCTCACAATAAACATTGAAATTGTTATTTTAACCTCAATGACAACAACAGCATCAGCAACAACAACATCAACAACATCAACAACACTACCCCAGAGTGGCAGCCTTGGCTGAGTAAGACCAGTCCAAATGCCCTGGACTGAATACAAAATAAAGCCCTCCGCCTTGAATCAGGTCAGCTGAAAACAGCACCAACAGAAGCACTTCGCTATGAGACCAGAACTGGGCACTAAACCACCTATACAAAAAGTATGTACCTCAAGTCAGTAGAGATGGCTAAGCGATTGCCAGACAGCCATCCTAGACAGAAAGCTTTTCAAAAAGCAGTCGGGCAAAAAAAAACCGCAGGAAAAGTTGGTTTCGGATGGGCACCGACCTAGCAGACTACCTCCCCCTGAAGCAGAGAATCGATGGCTGATCAATCTGGTGAGAGCTTGTTCATGGGAGACCCATGGCGAAATCGAAATCCGGACAGAATTGAGAGGCGTGAAGAGTAAAGGTGATGATCATGTATAGTAAAGGCACGTGAAGCTGCAGAGGATGTAATCAAGTACATGTATGTTGGTGCCGATGTGACAATTTTCACCGATGAATCGGCTGTCGCAGGATACCACGAAGGTGGAGCAGCAGCAGTAGTGATAATGAATGATGAACCACCACAAACAGAAATCATTAGAACTAAAGGGGCATTCCTCCCTCACATCATCTTATGACGAGGAATGCCAGGCAATGATGTCTGCTGCACAACGGATTGTTGACAATTGCCACAGTAGAACCAATGTGCTGATCTTGACTGACAGTCAGTCCCGCTGCAAGGGACTGCGAAGCAACAGATCAGATGAGAATGATTTGCGCCGCAAGTTCAGTGAAAATCACAGCCACAATAAAGATCCTGTGGATTCCAAGCCATGTTGGAATCGAAGGAAATGAGGCAGCAGACCAAGCTGCCAATGAAGCCAGAGAGATTGAAGGAGACAGACGACCAATAACATACAGGGGAGTCTTTCCGATGATCAAGAGGGTGATCATAGACCCATCATGCAGAGCTGAGTACCAGCACCTGGAGGATGTGTATTCTGGGTACTCCAATAAGCAGGAACAATCAATCGTATGTCGCTGGGACCAGGTTCAGCTAGCGAGACTGCGGTCACACTGTCATTGGAGCATGAGATGGTATCAGAACTTTATGAATGAAGATATGCCGAAGATGTAACCATGAAAAGGAGGATGTCAAACATATAAGTTTGAATATTCAGGAACAATGGTAACCCGAATGGAGTTATTTGGACGAGTGGACAACAACAACAGCAACAACAATAACAACAACAACAACAGCAACAACAACAACAATAGGGCAGCTACAACAACAACAACAATAAAAACAGTATTTTCATCATTATTTTTTGTATCATGTTCCTGATGAAGCCCTTCACGGGGCGAAACGTTGAACCTGTATTAAATTTGAAAAATCAACAAAGTCTCAACCCCTTTTTTATTCCCTACTACTTACAATGATGATGATGATGATAATGATGATGATGATGATGATGATGATGATGATGATGATGATGATGAGGAGGAGGAGGAGGAGGAGGA